TTTTTGAGACAGGGTCTAACTATGCAGTTCAGGTTGGCCTTGAGCTCACGTTGTGGCCCAAGCTGGTCTCGAACGCACAATGATGCTCTTGCTTCAGCCTTCCGAGTGCTGGGATTATAGGCTTGCACCACCACACTTGGTTTTGATTTATTTCACTTCTTACCATAGTCTCTAGTTGTATGCATTTACCTAGAAATGTCTCAAGTTTATCCTTCTTTATAGCTGAATACTACTTCATTTTATAAAAATGCCACATTGTTTTTTATTCATTCCTCAGTTGATACACTTTTGAGTTGTATCCAAAATTTAGCTATTACAAATTGTGCTGCTATAAACATGGGTGCACATATATTGCTGTGGTACAATTTTTAAAATTCTTTTGGGAAAATACTTAGAAGGCGAATAGCTCAGTCAAATGAAACCTCCAATCTTAGATTTTTGAGAATCTCCACACTGATTTCCATAGTGGTTACCAGTCTACACTCCCATCAAAGGTGAAGAAGGGCTCCTTTTTTTTTTTGCCCCAGCCCTGTCAGCATTTGTTGTTGTCTGATTTCTTGATGATGGCCATTTTTTCTGAGGTGAGATGCAATTTCAGTGCTGTTTTAATTTGCATTACTCAAATGACCAATGATGTTGAACATTTTTTCATGCACTTGCCTTTTGTATTCTTCATCTGAGAAGTGCATATTCATCTCAAAATTGTTTACTTGTTCTAGATAGAAGTCCTTTGATTGAGGGACAGTTGACTAAAATTTTTTCCCACGGGGGGGGGTTGTCTTTTTATTCTATTCTATTCTATTCTATTCTATTCTATTCTATTCTATTATTTGGGGGTTTTTTTTAGTGGTGATTTCCTTTGCTGTGCAAAACTTTCTAATGAAATCCCAGATGTTTATCCTCTTTTCCAGTTGTTTATTCTTTGAAGTACTTCCTGTGCTGTTTGGGCTTTGTTCATGAACTCTCTGCCTGCACCTATGTCTTCAAGGTTTCTACCTTCTTTCTCTTCCAGTAGATTTATTGTTTCTGTTTTAATACTTAGATCTGTGACCATTTTTATTTTAGTTTAATTCATGGTGATAGACATGGCTCTAGGTTTAGTCTTTGACATGTAGAGAGCCAGTTTCTCCAGCACCATTTATTAAAGAGGCTATCTTTCTTCAAGTGAACACGTTTGGCCCCTTTGTCAAAGATAAGATAGCTGAGTGTATTTGGAGCTGAGTTGTGTTTGCACCTTCTAATCTTTTCCACTGATCCTGAGGGTCTAGGTTTTATTTTCTGTCTTATTACCTTCACTGCTCCTCCTGAAATTTAAACTTTAGCATTGTCCTGTATTTTATATGTGGTCACTCATTTTTGCTGTCACACAAGAATCCTATTTGCCTTAATGAATTCTATGTTCTGTGCTTACCATAGCCATTGGCAAAAGCTTGTCCTGAAGTACATGTCTTAAATTAGAGTGTACATGAATGATTATTTTGAGCCAGTCAGTAGCCTCACCTAAAATGGTCTTAGAGTAACAGGTCAGTCTAAACATGAAGAAACACTTTCAAATCCTGTATTTAACATACTAAACTATTAAGAAATCTTTTTCCTGCTGTACATGTACTGGTTGAACTTTGAAAGATGTATGTATATATGTGAGGAGCTTATTCATTGGGACATAAATTTGGGTGGGATGTTTGTATTTTCTTATTATTAGATTGTATTCTTGTTTCCGCTTAAATATTTTTGGTGCTGTCTGCAAATATAGCTCCTTGTAATCCTCTTATTGGCCGATAAGACAAGTTGAGAGACACTGAATATGAGAAAAAGAGTTTATTCAAGCAAAAGGGAACACTTGTATGTGCTCAGAACAACTGTTCAGAAATGTCTGACAAGGTTGCTTTTATAGATTAAAAAAGAATAAAAAGGGTCATGACAAGTTTGTTGTGACAATTACGTTGATCAACAAACATAACTCAGGTTGCTTATAGAGTTGTCACAACCCAGAGAAATAATAGTGATGAATAGAGAAAGACATTTACTTGGGCTGTTTATGATATTTGTAGTATCCACCATGCTAATACAGTGACACAGGTGACTGCATCTCATGACTAATTTTCTCCCTGGAACTAAAGAATTGTGTGACTTCATTCTTGTCACACTTTAAATCCTTTTTACTCTCAATAAGCTATCACGCCTTTTTCTAAACTTTGTCATGATCACTAAAGGAACAGTGGGTGAGAAAATTCAGTATCATCCATTATATATCTCCTTTATGCCTGAAAATCAGAGCAAATGATTATTCCCTTAAGCAAAACAGTTTCACATATTAAGAACTTCCTTTTAAAAACATTTCTTAACTCTCTTATGTAAAGAGTTGTCTGTCTTATTTCTAAATTTTTTTATTACACATTACCTACAACTTTAAACTCCTATTATCCTTAATTTTTAATTTTTTAAATTCTAATTTAATTTGAAATTAAAATGTTATTTTTTAAATATTTTCAGTACCTAATAATCACATTCACTATTGGGAGTTGATACACATACATAGTACATCTTAATTCTTTTCTTCACACCCTTCTGCTCTGCTCTTCCCCACCCCTCCATCTCTTGGTCTCCTGTTTTAAAAGAAATTTATCTACCTGTTTCCTGTTATCTTTTATATTGCTCTTTAATTAATTTTTTAGCTTTCTTTTCTCCCTTTTTTATTATTTTAAAGAGAAAACAATGAAAACAAAATAAGAAGAACAAAGACAAAAGCAACAGAAAAATTATAAAAAGATACAGAATTTCAAAACAAGATGTTAGGAAATCAACAATGGTTGTTGTATTACTTACTGGTATCTTTGAAGTAGTTGCTCAGATTACCAGATATGGGTATGCAAAATGGACTGAACAATGAAACATTACCTGTTCCCTTCAATGAACCAATAGAAACTAGTAGTACAGTTACCTTAGCTATCTTGTTGTGTGGGGGGGGGCATATATATATATATATATATAAAGTTTCCCTTCCTTTTTTCTTTCTTTTCTTCCTTCCCTCATCCCAGTTATTCTCTCCTATTGAGCAGTTTCTTTTCCTTTCACAATATCTGTTGTATCTTTCAGTTCGTATTTACTCTTTCAGGTTCTTACACTAGGGAGACAATACAGTGTTTACAAATGTGGGTCTGATTTATTTCATTTATGAGTATAATATATAGGTGCATCCATCTACCTATAAAACCCTTGAGTTTACCTTTCTTCATAGCTGAGTAATACTCCATTGTATAAAAATGTAACATCTGTTTTATCCATTCCTCAGTTGATGGGCATCTGGGTTGTTTCCAACATTTTGCTATGACAAATTGTGCTGCTATAAATATGGGTGCATATATACCACTGTGGTATGACTTTTTAATTCTCCTGCGAAAATCCAGAAGGGGAATAGCCTGGTTGAATGGAACCTCTAATCCTAATTTTTGAGGAATCTCCAAATTGATTTCCAAAATGGTTTCACCAGTCTATATTGCCACCAAGAGTGGAGAAGGGTTCCTTTTTCCTCACAGTCCCTCCAGCATTTGTTGTTAGTTGATTTCTTGATGGTAGCCATTCTTTCTGGGGTGAGATAAAATCTCAGTACTGTTTCAATTTGCATCTCTTGAATGACCAATGATGTTGAACATTTTTTCATGTATTTATTTGCCATTAGTATTTCTTCATCTGCGAAGAGTATATTCATCTCAGATGCCCATTTCTGGATTGGGTCTTTGAATTTGGGGAGTCTGAGTTTTTTCAGTTCTTTACATGTTCTAGATATAAGTCTTTTGTCTGAGAGACAGTTAAGTGAAATGTTTTCCCACTCTATGGGTTGTCTTTTCATTCTATTGATGATTTCTTTTGTAATACAAAAGGTTTTCAATAGGATGAGATCCCAGTTATTGATTCTTTGAAGTGTTTCCCATGCAGTTTGGGTTTTGTTCATAAAGACTATGCCTAGCCCTATGTCTTCAAGATTTTGACCTAACTTCTCTTCCAGTAGATTTAGTGTTTCTGCTTTAATATTTAAATCTTTGATCCATTTTGACTTTAGTTTAGTGCATGGTAAAAGCCACAGTCTAGGTTTAGAATTAAGCATGTAGAGACGTATTTTTCCAGCACCTTTTATTAAAGAGGTTATCTTTCTTCCAGTGAACATGTTTGGTATCTTTGTCAAACATAAGGTGGCTGAAAGAGTTAATATAAACTCGGAGGTATGATAGGCATTGTGAAATGATAGGAAAATGCTCAAGGGTAAAGGGCAACTGGGATGTGGGAAAAGAGAAGGGAAAGAAGGAGAAATTTTGTATGTATGTATATACAGGATAGTTAATGTAATTGATCTACTGTCTTCTATTTCTTTGCTGAAAGAAACTGTTAATAAGTCCTTGGTTGATCAACATTACATGTCTCTATTTGTTTTCACAAGAAACCACTTTGAAGACATCAATATGTAATACAACAAGCATTGTTAATTTCCTGCCACTTTGTTTGTAACTCCGTATTGTCTGTACTGTTCTTTTGCTATTTTGTAAAAGGTTGTCTGTCTGTTAATGTTTTCCTCCTTTTATTTTTAAAATAAAAAAAGTAAAAAAAAAAAAAAAAAGAAAAAGAAAAGAAATCAGCCAATAACAAATGCTGAAGGGGCTGTAGGAAAAAAAGGAATCTTTCTCCAATGTTGGTGGTAGCATAGACTGGTGCAACCATGTGGAAATCAGTCTGGAGATGCCTCACAAAAGTAGGATTAGAAGTCCCGCTTAACCCAGCTATTCCCCCTCTGAGTATTTTCCCAGAAAATCTGAAAACATCATACCACAGTGATATATGTGCACCCATACTTATAGCAGCACAATTTGTCATAGCTAAATCTTGGAAACAACCCAAATCCCCATCAACTGAGCAGTGGGTAAAAAAGATGTGATATTTTTATACAATGGAGTGTTACTCAGCTATAAAGAAAGATAAATTCGAAGCTTTTATAGGTAAATGAATGTAAGTAAAGACCACACTCATAAACAAAATAAATCAATCTCGCATGTGTAAACACCATTTTGTCTCCCTAATGTAAGAACCTGAAAGAGTAAATAAAACTGACAGGTACAATAGATATTGTGAAAGGGAAAGAAACTGCTTAATAGGAAAAAACAACTGGAATGAGAGAAAGAAAAAAAGAAAGAAAGAAGGAAAGAAAGGAAGAAAGAATATACATATACATATGCTAATATATATACAAGCACATATATACAAGCTTTATGTATACAAGTGAAAGTGTATACACACACACATGATAGCTAAGATAATTGCAGTACTAATTTCTATTGGTTTATTGAGAGGAACAGTTAATGTTTAATTATTTGATCAATCTTCCATACTTATATCTAATAATCTGAGCAATTACTTTGAAGATAACAATAAGTAATACAACAAACATTGTTGATTTCCTATCATCTTGTTTAGAAATTCTGTATTGTTCTTACAGGTTTTCTGTTTTGTTTTTTGTCTTGTGTTTGTTATTTTGTTTTTGTTCTTTTCTCTTTAAAATAAAAAATAAAATAATACTGTGATTGCATCTAACTCTGAATAGAATGGACACCCACCATGTACTCCCATTCTGTATACACAAAACTGTGAAGCCAATCCATCATGGACTGAAACATTCAAAATTGAGTGAAAAAAATACTCTATTTCTAATACAATTGTCTCATGTATTTTATACAGCAACAAAAATCTAAACGACACAGCAAGTGCTATATAACAAGGAAGACAAGAGATGTGAGTTCCCCAGGTGGGAAAGGCTTTTTATTTGTTTTTGGCTGAAGAGATTCTCAACATGGAGGAGAAAATATGAGACTGAAGGAATAGGATCTCAGAAGAGGAAAAACATCTGAGATCTTAGAAACAAAATGTGCTGCTATGTTATTGATAAGGTTGTCTGAGCAGGGCATCTTGGAGCTTTGTGAAGTTCACACAAAGTGTGGACAGTATATGTTTGTGAAGGGGGGGAAGATGTTCACTTATGCAAATGACAAATCACTACCTCAAAATTTCTTCTGTACTCCTGTCTCCCTTGACACCTCCACAGCAAATTGGGTAGTAACAATAAAAAATCAGACCCCAGGATTTCTCACTGTCTCGATTCTGTTTATTTCATTTGCAAACTCTTTTACATAGATCTGAAAAACAAGCTTTATCACAGGCTGCTATATACCTGAGTGATCCCAGCAAGTCCTGAATGACACGTAGATATAGAATATTATCAGCATGATTACATTCTTTTATTTACATGTTTTAATTAGAAGAAAGTTGTTAGGGGAATTTTAAATGTAGGGTATGGTGTAGGGGCATAAATTTATGTAGGAAAGCAAAAAGGAATTAAGGGTCAAGAGGAAAGGGAAACAACATTTGACTTGTTTAAAACCAGCTTGCTTTTGCTTTTTAACATAATTTTAACTTAAACTCTTAAATTTTAGGTAATCAGAGATTAACGTGGACTAGTGAAAATGATACACAGAGACTCATGTAACCTTAACTCAAGTACCACAAGGCACAATTGAGCAAATCTGAAGTACAGTATTATAACTAGAATATTAACACTGACACAAGGAAATGAAAGCAACAGACAAAAGTTCCCCTAGACACCTGTATTTAGTGGAGCATATACAAAATAACTAAGTTTCAGAACAACCTAAGTGTCCATCACTGTGTGATGCTAAAGAAAGTGTGCACTATGTATCACTATGTAGGGGTATTATTCACCCCTAAAGCAGAATGAAATCTCATTATTTGTGGCAAAATGATGGAATTGGGGACATTATGCTAGGTGAAATAAACCAGATAAGGAAAGGCTAGTGCCAGACAGTCTCTGTCATCTGCTCCAGTATTTTTAAATGTAGATCTGAACTAGAAATAGTGATTATTAGAAATTGGGCAGGAGGTAGAAAGAAGATGGGTAAAGGGAACAGAATTTGATTTAGTTCATGCTACGTGGGTGTATGGAAATACTTTATTATGTTGAACCCTATTAATATGTATAATTAATACGTGTTAATCAAAAGTAAAGCAAAACAAAATACATATCAGTGCCATCAACTCACAAATCCCAAGTATTTTCCTTTTACACCTACCTCCATCTGCCTCTAATCCCAGTGCCTGATCCCTAAAAGCAATACTCTATTCAGCATTTACATATTATGTGTAATGCAGTGATTAGGTGTCATTACACAAATGCTGAGAATAAAAATATTCATCTGGGAAAAATTGTCTAGTAGCTATTTTAGGGGACCTGTTTTTTCATGATGGTGAACACCAAGGTAAAGTAAAAAGAAGGTCCTAAAAATGAGACTATTACCAAATGACCAGTTATAAAACACTTTATGGTGTTGAGGTCTGTATCATCAGGAAAGATGCTTAAGAGATGATACACAGAGGGATGATAACCACACCAGTGAAAAGCTGTATTTAGATTTTTCTTCCCACGTGAAATTACATAACTACCTTTAGTTATCAATGCAGTTTTTTTCCACATTTACACAACTCTACTTTTACTAAAAGAAAAATTATTTTATAAGATATGTCCCACTTGAGAAGAAATTGTTCCTAAATGTGTATGTCCAATGGGATAAAAGAGAATTTCCAAATACTGGGAAAATTTAGAAAAGATGAAAAATTATAAGTGAAGAGGATTAGATGCCATCAAGACCAAAAAATGTAATAAGTGAATTACACAATTAAGCGCTGCAGAGAAGCTGAAATCAGGGAAAGTCCAGGGAAAAATAGGAGCAAGCTGTTCTTCCACAAACTGATCAAAGGATCCAGGTTGCGGCTCTGAGGCACCGAACCTTGCGGGTCTGGGCACTTCAGTCTCATACAGTGGACCCCCTTCTTGCTTCCCTCCCAAACAGTTTTTTCAGAGCATTCTTGATGTCCTTATTCCTCAGGCTATAGATAAAAGGGTTCAGCATGGGTGTGACCACGCTATACATCACTGAGGCTGCTGCAGTTGAGTGTGAATTTTGGATAACGGCAGAACTGAGGTACACACCTAAGCTTGTGCAATAAAATAAGGAGACCACTGAAAGGTGAGATGCACAAGTGGAAAATGCTTTATACCTCCCCTGAGCCGATGAAATGGTACGTATCATGGAAACTATTTTAGAGTAAGAATAAAGGATGCCAGCCAGGGGACAACAAGCCATTATCACAGTTGTAAAATACATCACCACATCATTAAGAAAGGTATCAGAACAGGCACGATGGACCACCTGATTAAGTTCACAGAAAAAGTGAGGGATTTCTAACTCTGCGCAGAAGGACAGATGCAGAACCATTAAGCTCTGTAAAATGGCATGAAAGATGTTCACGATCCAGGACAGCAAAACCAACAATACACACAACCGAGCATTCATGATGACTGTATAATGCAGAGGGTGACAGATGGCCACGTATCGGTCATAGGCCATCACGGTCAGTAAAAATATATCCAACCCTACAAAGAGTACAAAAAAGTGCATTTGAGCGATGCAGCCTTCATATGTTATAACTTTTCTTTGGGTGTGTATATTCACCAGCATCTTAGGGACAGTGGTAGAGGTGAAACAGATGTCCACAAAGGACAGGTTGGAGAGGAAGAAGTACATGGGTGTGTGCAAGTGGGAGTCTGAGATTGTGGCCAGGATGATGAGCATGTTCCCAATCACAGTGGTTAGGTAGATGCAGAGGAAAAGCCCAAAAAGGATGGGCTGCAGTTCTTGGTCCTCTGAAACTCCAAGAAGAATAAATTCTGAAATTTGTGTATCATTCCTTGATTCCATGTGATTGATAAAACTATGAGAGAGATACACACACCTGGAAGCAGAGAAAGAGAGAGAGAGAAAGAGAGAAGTTTATTAACCTTAGAGTGTTATCATTTACTTTTTTGGTCAAGATGTTATATTATTTTTATATTTCATTAATGAATGGTGCCCTTTAGCAGATTTCCTACAACATCTGATTAAGAATTTGTTTCCAGTGCTCACCCTTTCCTCAAGACATCATGAGCCCAATAATTGTAACGAGAAGTTCCTTTATCCATTGGAAGTCTATAAATCTACTACAAACCTTATGACAGGTACATTCAGACAATGTGTGAATAGTGCAGAAAACACAAGCATCCCTATAATTTATACACAAAGAATATAAATTTTAGAACATGTGAGATCATGGCAAATGCTTGGTTGAAAAAGGAAGCAGGTAAAAGAGAGTAGATGACAATGATACCTTCATTTTCAAACTGGAATTCAGGTAAGACCAGTAAAGAAAATAACTTTTTTATATTTATTACTACATGCTTAATATGCTAATGATTACACTCATAGTGGCAGGTTGGCACAAGTACACAACATATCTTAAGTCTCTTTACTTTTCCATGTTCTCCCCTCTCTACACTTCCTTGCATCTCCAGTTTCCCTTCCCATTTGCAAAGGATTTATCTTTCAACTCAAAATATCTTTCATTTTAAGCTTTAAGTTTTTTATACTTTGGGTTTCTCATGTAAGAGACTGACAGTAAGGGTGAAATTAACTGAGTAGTTTCAAAGTAACTAGAGAAAATATAATTACAATCTAAAGCTAATCTTAAGTAGAGGCATAAAGCCATAACAATTTAAGGACATCAGCACGTATCACTCATTCCAAGTTAAACTCTCCAAAATTTGAAAACAGAAATATATAACAAAGTCTTTAAAATGCTGGGAGGAAGAAGTATCTAAAGGTATAATTCCATCTTACATAAAGATTGAAAGACCCAAAAATGGTTATGAAAAATAAAGGTGATTTTGCTCAAATAATGAAAGCTGCCTATCAAAAGATGGATGAAGAAAATGCAACTTTTAGAAATGATCTAATTTTAAAAACCACAATATGGAATAATGGAATAATAGAGAAATGAAAATAAATCAGAAATATGCACAACAGGTGTTTCATTTGCTCAAATGACACAAAAGGAAATTTCTACACTTAAAAAGTAATCAGAGAAACACAACCCAAACTGAGGATGTATTTTACAACGCACATTTGCAAACTTTCACACACTTCCCAAATGCATTTATAAATACATAAATGTACAAAAAGGAAGCATTCACATTGGTGACAAATTACAGATCTTAAGTTTGAAAGAATGCAATAAAGACGAGGATAATTCCAGCAATTTTCAGTAAAGTGAATGTTTAACAAACTGTAACTCTGTATCTTTTGTATTGTTCTTATGCTATTTTGTAAATGGATGTCTGTTTGTTAATATGTTTTCCTTCTTTCATTTTTAAAATAAATTTTAAAAACATATAGATACAGTCAGCTCCAAAACTGAAGAAATAATCACAAAGTAAACTTCATGATTATCTGCATTTTTACCCATTGAATAATTTTAAATGTGAATACACAGAATGAAATGAGATACTGCACTATAAATGACAAATAAACTATTGTTGGAAAGTAGTATTTGCAAGAAATACTAAGATTTATGTCTTCCTCATTATGGAAACATATTCAAATGTGCCCTGTCTTATAAATACAAATAAAATTCTCTCATTTTATTATATATCTCTCCATAGCTAATGCTTAATTACTCTATTTCTGTTCATTGGAAAGATCCTTAAAACATGTTTTATTTTTAATGAAATGATATCACCCCTCCCATTTCTCCTTCTAACTGTCCTTCCATTATTGTCACTTCATTGTCAATAATGATCCTGTGATGCTAAGTTCAAGTGATACATTGCTTTCTAAAGTCATGAATAAACAAAGCAAGCAAGGAAGCAAACACCCAGGAATTGCAATCTGTCAGCTCAGGGTTAGGCTGGTTTGACTCTCAGAAAACCTCAGGTAAAATGTTTTTTACTTCCATTCTCTGAACCACACTTAGAATATATGTTGGGCTCTCAGACTAACCTGGATATGAACTCTGAAAGGAAGGTCTGTATATGGAAGTCTTAATTCTTCCCTAAATGGTTGATGATGGCAACTGGAACTCTGTCCTTACATAAGACACTAGGAACAAGTCAAACATTGGTCCCTGTGCCAGACTTAGGACTGGAAAAGAGACAGCCATATTTGGTCCAGCCCAAGTTTACACATTCTGAGGACAGTAGCAGGGGAAATATATACATCTCCTCAGACATTCTCATCAGTGACATCCTTATTACTCCAAACCCTGGGCACATCATTCCCACGTGGGTCATTGCTCTGCAGAAAAAGAAATTTGTTCCTGAAGACTCTCTTTTCCCAAGACACCAGTGTAAAAGGCAGGGGAATCAAATCTTCATTACTGATTCTCCATGAATTCATATGCCTTCCAGAGATCCAGTTTTCTAGTACCTTATCTTAACTTCATGCCATAATTTTCTTCCAGGTCTAACACTGAGGTCCTTGGATAACCAAAGCTTGTATTGGAGGTTGCACAAAGCCCCTGATTTCCAAGAACTTGCTTTTCTTCTTTTCAACAAGAAGAATTGTGATCTTTCAATTATAAAACCATGGTTACTATTCTCCTTGGCTTCGTGGTACTTTTATAATATAATTAGGAAATTCATATTCATTGCATAGGTTAAGATTTGTCATTGAGGGGCTGGGGATTTAGCCCAGTGGCAAAGCGCCTGCCTGGCAAATGCAAGGTCGTGAGTTCGGTTCCCGGTACTGGAGAAAAACCAAAGACAAAAAAACAAAACAAAAAGATTTGTCATTGAGTTCTTAATTTATAAAATATTTTGTAAATATCAAGTGATGTATTTGGATCACTTACATGTGCTTCCCTAAGACTAGGGAATATTTATAAATATAAATACTTTATATAAATATTATATAAATATTTTCATTTTTATGAAAATCCATTCTGGTCACCTAGATTGTGCACATCTCTTGTCTTTTCTAGTCAGCAGGCTTGGGTGTGAGGATCAGTAGAGATCAGATATTCAGAGCCATCCTGGGCAGCCTAGTGACCTATTTATTAAAACAACAAAGCATAAAATTTATTGTATGTGTTCAATACTATTATGATCTTATTTGACATTTTCAGAAATGGGGTTTAGAAAGGAAATAAGTCTACCCAAAATTATAAACCAGGTTCACATGCATAGTTTTAATTGAAAGGTAGTGAAAATGTTTCCTATTCTGTTCTACACAGATACCCTCATCCAGGAATAATTTTATGTTTAATGGACATTTGGAAATATCTGGGGAATTTGCTTATCACTATAGGATATGCTACCTGCCACACCCATAGGGTGTCTGCCAGGGCTGGGCTGAACCCCAGACACCTTCAGGAACCTGGTGAGTCACAGTGGCACCTCCCTAACCAGCAGGCAAAACCTCGGGCACCCTCTGGGGCCTTGGTGGATACCCACCACACTCCAGGGAGTCTCTGGATCTTCAAAAATGGCAAAACAAAGGAGTAAAAAGCAATTCCAGACCTCCACAGCACCCAAAACAAGTCTAAGAGACATTAACAGAAAACAGCCTGGAAGTCATATATCTGAAATTTCTGAAATGATAGCAACTAAAGTAAATAAACAACTCCATCAGGCCATAGAAGACATCGGATCAGAAATAATGTCTCAGGACCTCTCCATTGGCAGTGAGACCTATGCAGCTGAACCTCCCTGTCCCTTTGGGACAGGAAACAAGGTGGGAATGGCCTGTTCCTGGGGACCTCTCTGTTCACAGGTGAGGCTTGCCCTCCCTCAACCAGCTACCTGAGAAACCCAGAGCAGCAACCCCTGACTGACCAACACTGGGTTCATGGCTAAGTCCCACATGTTCTCCACTGATAGTCTGGAGACCCTGGTCAGCATTCCCCCACCATAGATGTGGTTCGAGCCATACACCCAACCAATTGCTTGGGGTTCCCAGGCCCAGTGGTCCACTGCCCTCTACCATCTTGGGATTCATCTGTTATCCAGGTAAACCAAGATCCCTAGAGAACATCAGTGAGCTGCCTGAGTAGCATTTGGCTCAGCACTTTCCATTTGATATCCAAAAGGACAAGACGAACGAGCAAAATGCAATCTAAGAACTGAACTCCACCCAGAACAAGTCAAGGAGACACTGACATGGGAGAAATTGGAAGTCACATACCTGAAATCTCTGAAATGATCACAACTGAAGTAAAGAAACAACTCCAACAGGCCATAGAAGAAATCAGATGAGAAATAATCTCCCAGATAAAAAATGAAATGACATTAATAATGAAAGAACTGCTCAGCACATCTAGTGAAGACATATACAAAAAAATGAACGAGCATAGGAAAACAATGGAAACATTAAATGAACAGTACAGAGCAGACCTGGAATGCATGAAACAGATCCGAAGAGATATCCAAGAAATCAAAACTTCCACTGAAAGCTGTCAAAACTGCTTGAATGAGGCTGAAGATAGAATCTCAGATATTGAAGACAGCATGGCAGCTTATGATTGTGAAAGGAAGGATCTCTAAAAATCAACAAGGATCCAGGAAAAATCAAAACAACAGCTGCAAGATGAGGCAAAGAGAAATAATGTAAAACTAATAGGAGTCAATCAAGAAGCAGTAGGCACCACAAATGACATAAAAAGAATATTTGCAGAAATAATAACAGAAAACTTTCCAAGCATGGAAAAAGATTCTGAAGTACAGGTAAATGAGGCATATAGAACCCCAACTAGTCACAACCAAAATAAAACCACACTCAGACATATAATATTCAAGATCCCAGATCTGCAGCAAAAGAATAGAATATTAAAAGCTGCTAGAGAAAAAAAAAACAGATTACCTATAGGAAAGCCCATCAGAATCACGGAAAAC